TGGTGCATTTTGTAAATTTACACCAATTAAAAAACGTGGGCAGTGCCTGTGGACAGTTGTTCGCTGCTTAAGTATGCGTTACTTTTCAGAGACAGTTTAAGCTCACAAAATAGATATACATGTAGAGCTACTGTTATATTCTGAAATTGTTATTAAATTGAGAAAATGTGAGTGTTGTCAGGCGTTGGGAATCAGTTATCAACAAATATTTACTCAATCAATGGTTATTGTATGGCTATTAATAGACCTTTTTACCAATACGGCAGCCATATTGAATTTATTGGATTTAAGGAGTATTATGGGGTGCCCAGGGGGCACTCGCTCAGCATTTACGCGCGCTTTTCGGGCTTAAAAAGAGAACTTCAATATATATTTCTCGGCAAAAAGGCGATCATAATTACATCCAAACAAGGCACAACGATCTATTTTTCCCATTGCAATTTTTTTCTAGGAAAACTTAAAGAAAAATCGGCCCGTAAAGCGCGCGTAAATACTGATGCGAGTATATCGGATCGTGCTCATGCCCCCTGGGCATCCTATAATACTCCTTAAATCCAATTAATTCAATATGGCCCCCGTATCGGTAAAAAGGTCCATTCATTTGCTTGTCTTATGTCTTCAACCCATTGGCTCAAGCCATTATAAAGAGATGCAGTTTTCCCAACTTGAAATTAGCGCACGTTCGTATTGCGGATTGTGTCCGGAATTATAAATAAGTGGTGACCGCGCTAAGTCAACTGTAAAGTCTAATTGTATTGTTCCTATTCTAGAACTAGTTATGTTAAACTAGCCAGGCAAACGATGATGAATCTGTTTATTGGAATAAGAAGAAAAGTTCAGTGGAGATGGCGATAAACTTACAATACTGGGGAAAAACGTTTCAGATAAAATGTCGTCAAATTCATGGGATTGAGGAAATCAATTTCAGAGAAACATAATGGGAAGGTTGTGGAAATTGGGGGAGGAGCAGGCGCGGATCACTACACTGGTTTCCACCGTTTTGGGGAAATCGGTCACATTTTGCATAATAAATATATTTTTAACAATAAAACACACTTTTCAGGTCGAAATTTGGCCAATATCCTGTCTGAATGACTCGGAAACCCAGGAAGAGGGACTTTAAGGACTAAAAATCCAAAACAATTTCCTGCGGGAGCCCGCCTGATCCTGATCCTGCTAGAAGCTTGCGCCTTCGGCTCTCGTTTAGAAACTCGTGAGAATTTATCCTAGATCCGCGCCTGAGGAAACAGGAAATTCACGAAAGTGAGGAAAATAGTTCAAGATTATGCTTGTGAAAAAGAGAAATCCATGGGGTTGAAGAAAGAAGTTCCAAATGTGAATGACGATAATCCCGTTTGTATGAGGAAGGGAGATTCAGTGGAAGATAAAATAATTACATCGGCATTATAGCAAAGTAGCTTCCGCGAAAGGAACGAGAAATGAAGATAGAGGTTTTTGGTCAAGTGAAAAAGAAAACCATAGAAATGATTAAGTAAGGAGCTCTCGTAAGGAGAAATCCATGGAAATAAAGAAAGGAATTCCTGGTGAGATTACAAGAAATCCATGGGAATGAAAAAATGAGTCCCATTGCAGGTTTCGAGTTCCAGATCAAGTAACGGAACCGACAAGTGTGAAGAAGGGAAGTTCTAGGTCAGGTAGCCATATAACAAAGAGATATATACTAAAGCTGATGTTTTGACGATAAATCCAAACGAATGATTGACGAGTTCACAGAAAGGACGAAAATCCCTTGGGTATAAAGGGAGGCTTTCTACCTCATTGGCAGTGAAGAGAATTTCGTGGTATTGAAGATAAATCTATGTGCAAGTGACGAGAAGACATTCATGGCACTGGAATGGAGAATAGAGGAGGAAGAGTGGCCGAGTGGTAAGTACGTCGGACTCGCAATCCGGCGGTCCCGGGTTCGATTCTCGCTCTGGCCACTTGCTGGATTGCAATGGTTGGGGCCCCTTCTGAGGATGCCATTGTCAACCGCTGTAATTTTACCCCCGGTTTCCACCTCCCGATAACTCGAATCAATTTGCCTTGTCCACTGTAGTACTTTTAAAAGTTAAAACTGAAATGAAGCCCTCCTCACCCCCCGTCTGTTTTCGCCTTTCTGGAGGTGATAAAGCAGTAACAGTTATAGAACATGCAGATTCTCAAACACGCACTAAATTTTCTTTGACATTTACTAAGCAACTTAGTAGAAGAAAAATTTTCTCAGAAATTGAGTACCTACACTGTAATTTTCACTGGATTATAACTGGAGTTATTTTTCGGGTTTTTTTAACTTTAAAGAACTCTTTTCAAATGTGTCCCCAAAATTGAGGAAAAATAACCCCAAAAAGGAGTTATCCCTGTAAAATTTTTACTCCACTTTCAGGGTAAATTAACTCCAAAAAGAGTAAAACAACCCCTGACACAACCCCATTTCGGAGTAATTTTAACTCCAAGACTTAAAAGAACCTCCTTCGGAGTTAAATTTTAAAAAACCCCAAAAAGGGGTTATCCTGTGGTGTGCAAAAGTTTTTGCATTTACCATTTTTACGGTGTAGCACTCTTATAAGATTTCACTCCTGTGAAAACCAAGGAGTAAATTTGGTTTTAAATGACACATTTTTATTTACGAACGTGCTTTTGCCAAAAGTGGCAAAATTTTTGCCCTAGATTTACTAAAATTTGTGCAAATCCATCCATCCTTTCGTCCAGTAAGCAAATTTAGAGTCAGTTAGCGCTTTGGGAGACACATATCCACTAACAAACACATGCATCAAACACTATAACAGAGGTCAAAAGAACTTGGGAAATTGCGAAGAAACCCTTTCATGTAACTATTACATAAGACTGCTGCAAATGACAATTTTTTAATTGGCTTTAAGCCAGTCCCTTCAATCCCCTTCACCCATACCATTTTTTCCCCAAAATTCAAGATTGTTTGGGGTGGGAGGGAGAAGGGCGCCAGTTTTAACCAGTCCCAACATTTTGACTTCCATCGTAAATCTCCGTTTCGCACTTTTGTTGCGACCATTAAAATAAAACTGCTTTGGCAGTACTTATAAGCACAGTACAATCAGAGCTCCTCGTGCGTCCACCTCTGGTAAGTGCCCACTTATCAAAAAAATACCGCAGTCAGCTTTTGTCCTTCAAGATCTCTCGTAAACCTTTTCCTTGAGCATAAAAGAACGCCAAATCTTGATTTTTGGGGTGGCAGCTTAGGGAAGGTTCCACTGTATTCCTTCCTCCCCATAGTTACTAAATGAAGTTGGATTATTGTGGGCCTTTAGTGGTAAAGCGCGTACTTTCTTTATTCGTCTTTAAAATTTCAAGGTAGATGCCTAGCAAAAGGTCAAGGCATAAGACCTGAGATTGGACAACTCGGTTCATAGAAAAGGCCTCTTACAGATCATTCTTTTTTAGTTGCGCCAGAAAAGAAAAACAAAATAAAACTGCTTCTAAGTAGTTTAGAAAAGTGTGAATTTTCTATTTTCAAGTGACATTCTTGTTTTCTTTTGCATTGTTGTCCTAGTTTCCTTAAGTTTCTAATGTGGCATTCTCCGGGGAAGAACCCGCTTAAATTTTCCAAGAGACATGCACGGTGTTGGTTTTCTGAAGCTCTGGACAGACGAATTTTCTCCAGTTAACTTGACCGCCAGTAAAAAGGTTTCTGAGGAAAAAAAGACCCAGTGTTTCATACATACTTACGACGTAAGGATAAAAGAGAGACGTAAGGGAAAACTTCAAAAAAAGTAAATAGGGCGGCAAAAACAAGAAGGATTTGTGATTTAGAGATTACAAATTATCCCAAAAGATATGCCTAGACCGGGGGGGTTACTTGACCAATATATGGGTAGAGATGAGCCGCTGAGAGATTGAAACCCTGAGCCTGTTTAGGACAACACCCTCAATTTTATTACTCTTTTTAGGACAGAGGAGAAAAGGCACGAGGCCTTGTTTTAGAGCATTTTATTGGCAAGAGCAAATTTTACGTTGTAGGCTCTTGTATACTTGGAGTACAAACAAAATTTATCTTGCAAATCAAATCAATCTTGCAGGCAATACCCTCTTGACAGACTCACACGAAATTATATACCCTGTTCAGGACAGAGCCAGGTAAAAAACCATACCCTGTCCAGCGGCACATCCCCGAATAGGCCATTCAATTGAGTACCCACTCCCGGGTTCCTGGAGCAGTTATAGTAAATGAACGTAAGTTGGAAAGTTGTCAGTGGAGAAACTAACCTTCTGAGAGGATCACTCGGAAATAAATGAGACGTCAAGTCTCTCTCCTGTTATCGGAACAATTATCACAAAGCGCAGCAGCGCAGCATTTGGGACAACTATTTTTTGTCGTAGTTGCAGGATGCACTTCTGCCACTTATTATAATTCAATTGCGATCCCTCACTTTCATGCTTACGTCGTAAGTTTGTATGGAGAAATAATGATAGTTATATCCATGATCCTGTTTGAGAGTGAGGTTGGTTAGGCTTCCTTTTGTATGGAAGCCTACAAAAGCCCTCAAAAGCTTCCTTTTTGTAAATTGTAAGACACATTAACAGTACATTTGCTGACTCTAGGTACTTCCTAAACAACAACAACAAAAACAACAACAGGAAAGGCATTTGTCAATATTTCGCCTTCCTTCCTATCACCTTAGATCTTTCTAGGAATTAGAAGTTAGAAGCTAGAAGTTGCAACTATTTCTTTATTTATATTTTTTTAACGAATAATGTAAGACTTTTTGTCCGCGTCTATGGGTGATCAATTTTTCGTTTCTGTCATTAAAATTGATTAATAAGATTATAAATTATTGCACTGAACCGAATAATGTCGCAGATGTCAATTTATCTAGTTCGCACAGACAGCTCGGTTGTACTTGTATAAAAAATTTAGGAATAGCCGTGATAATCTCTACAAAATGTTAATGACTTATCTATTATCATACAATTTTGATAAGACGAACATCGTTCTAAAACGGTCACTGAGGAGCTTGTGTGACTCAGACACGACAAGCATGAGTGTTGTTTCCAATATCTGCACTGTCTTTTCTGTGAAGACAAACATTTCCATTCTCAGAAATAGAAGAAGAACTGTGTGACAGTGACTCTCCTTTTGTTTTATGAAATGACATCTGAGTGGAGTGAGCGCAACTGAGAGGTTCGGAACCTGGGCCAAGCCTTTTACAGCAGGTGGAACGAATAAGAAGTTTCTTGAAGGCTCGACGATACGTTCGGTTTAAGCATGTGTAAATGATTGGGTTCAAGAAGGAGTTCAGGTACTCCATCCACTTGATTGCCTTATAAAAGTCAATGGGTACGTAATAAAAAGGATTAAACGCGTATATCGTAACAATGACGAAGAAAGGCATCCAGCAAACAACAAACGCGCCAATAACAATGGCTACAGTCTTGGTTGCCTTCATGTCTTTAGCGAAGTTTCGTCCTATGCGGAGCGCTTGATTCCTTGCCACAAAGTAAATTTTCATGTACATAACGGTCATGAGCAACAGAGGAACTACAAAACTGACGGCAACGACGACAAGTTGATATGGAAGGAGGAACGATCTTGTACTGGCCATTGGAAGACCTCGAAGACTACACAGTACCAGAGAGAACACCCATAGAGCAACTATCATGGCTGTAGCTCTAGAGGAAGTCATTACTTCGTTGTAGGAGAAAGGGGATGTTATCGCCAGGTGACGGTCAAAGCTTACGGCAACAAGATTCATAATGGAGGCTGAACCAACCAAGATGTCTATAATGGCCCAGAACAAGTACAGCTCCGCTGAAAACACACCCTTGGATTTCTCATCCATGTCTGTTAACTGTAATACCAGCCAGAATGGCATGGCTAGTAGCGCTACCAGGATGTCCGCCGCACTTAAACTGATGATGAAGTAATTGCATATTGTTCTTAGGTCGTGGTAATAATAAAAGCAGGCGCATACCATGACATTTCCTACCAAAGTCAGCAGCATTAAAACGGCAACGAAAAGTGCTGCGGTAATATTGCCTGCGCTGGTGTTATAAGTGAAGCCCGAATCCACTGGCTCGGCTGTGGAATTGTTCATCTTTGTGAAATTCTTGAAGACTAAAATATAAAAAATATATATATACAAACAAATTAAGGGTCTAGTTAATTTTTTTTACCTAATACTATATAGTATTGAAAATTACGACAGGTATCTGCAGTCTTGGCAAATACTAGAAGGCCCAAGTGACTCAGTAATATGCTTCAAAATTACACCATCGACCCAAATGTGCAGATAACATGTCAAGGGAGTTTATATCTTCTATATCTATTTACTTTGAACTAAACACTGTTCAAATTGCGTCTCTGTAAATAGGAAGGAATGCAAAAGTATTTATTGTCAAAATAATATGAAAAAAGTAACAATCTGCACTTGGGATCTTTTTGCCGACACGCATGACTCAGGCGATCGGGAACAAACAGGCTCTTTGACAATTCTGTCGTTGTGTTTGGAGCTGTTCCGCTTTCGTTTACTTTACTGGCACCAAAATATCGTCAACATTTAATCACGATGATAGCAAACGTAATAAAGTAAACTTCACAAGCACGACAGATCGTCAGCAAAGCCCAAACCCGACTAACTGTTAAGTGCACTGAAATGAATCTGCTCCTAACGTCAACTGAAGTTATCAGTACACTAACCTTACACTAGAACCCAGCTGTTTCAAGGAAATATTTTATCGCGGGAATTACCTTTTTGGCAACAAATCATTCAAAGGAGGAAAACGCCTGACAACAAAAATGATTTATCGATGAAGGAAAGTTTCATGACAGCTTACTTTGATTGTGGTTTCGGAAGCAAAATACCTTGAAACGGTGTCATTAACATTTACTCATAACAAACCAAGGCGTAGTTTTCTCAGTACAGTATAGGTGGAAACGTTCGTTGCATTTTAACAGACAGATGCTTTACAATTCTAAACAAATACCATCGAAATACCTTTAAGGAGCAGAATTTTCCTCTTAAACGGTGTTTTCCAGTGTTCCCAGAAACGCATTGGTTCATAGAGTGATCTACAGTGAATGACCCAAGAGCCTGAGAATTAAACGCCTCCGAATCTTTCTCGTCTGCTCAAAGAATCCGGAGCAACTCATGCTAAACGCTTTGTTTTCAATAACTAACGATCAACGCATACATTAATCTGGTCTTAAAGTGAAAGACAGCAGCTTATTAAGGGGCTTATTAAAAATGTGATCACAATCGACCGCACGAGTGGGTTTTGACTCTCGAAAAAACGAATCACGTGCTCACCGTTTGCCAAATATACTCTTGACAAGAAATGTAGGAAGCTAACGAAAATAAAGAATTGTTTTTTGTTTGATATGGGCTAGCAGAACTGTACGAAGCGGAAAGGAATAAAAAATGACTTGTCGACTTTGTAAATTGGTTCCGGTGCTTATGTTGAAGGTTCCGAAAAGACTTGCAATTAGTATACTTCTTGAAAACTCTAAGCCGGTGTAATTTATTTAAAAGAGAAACGCGCAGTTTAGTCAGACACGCTCATGAAATAACCCTCTGCAGAATGCTAAGCTGGAATGTTTTTGCTGTTATTCTTCCACGGTCGTGGCTTTTTTGTTAGTAAACATCGAGGATGCCATGTTCAAATAAAGCATTGCTAAGAATTCGATGTGTCAATGTTTGCAGAATTAAATCAGTCGCATTTATGAATTATGGAAATTCTTTTATCTAGAAGCAAAACTACTTTTCGGCGGTGTTTCTCTTTTTCTCTAACTGAATAACAACATGGGATTAGTTATGAGCATAACTTGGCTTATGGAAGATCAGCGATTGTAATATTAAAATTCTAAGAGTAAGAATGAATTTTTTGGCAGCTTTTAAATCCTTAACCAGTGATATGAGACCTTTGAAATATTGATCAGATGGCAGTATCGGGTCCTTGTAGCCAAATGTTTCGAGATTGTAGTATTAGACCAATTTTGTGACACTTTGTAAAATTAGCGAGAATTGACCGAATGAAACACGCCCAATAAGAACGCCTGAGCGTAATTAATGGAATATAATTATATTAGGGTCTGGAAATACTATTTTATAACATCCTTAGGCGGTAAGTTAAAACCTGAACTGAAATAAAAGAGGATAAAAGAAACAACAACAGTAAAACTTTTTATGTAATCCCGCAATGGCCGAAAATAGAGTTTTTCATAATACCTTTTTGGAAAACGTTGTCTTTCCTATGGCATTGGTAGAGTAGAATTAATATGATATATAATCATGTTTTTGTAAAGGTTCTTGTGCTGATGTTAATTTAAACAGAGGTAATACACAGAAAATGGCTATTTTGAATGATAAAACCGCAATGATTTTGAAATTGAGCAGAATGAACAAGTTAAAATGATTGAATTAATCATTCAAAAGAATCGAAAACTGATTACAGAAAGCAATCTAAAACGTGTGAAAATGTACCGCACAATATTTCCTTTATTATTAGGCTGTTAGGTGCAGCAGTTTTCCGCCGCTAACTCATCGAAAATAGATAAACATTTTTCATAGTTTGTGTGCCCAGACAGCTGCATTACCAAAAATTTACAAATTTCTTTTAAAATTGTTCTCCAGCGCCTTTGGCGTTACTTTTGATTTCGCTTCATTCATGAGGTGTAACAAGAAGTAAACTTCAATCAAAATACTACGACTTGTTTCAATTATATCTGAAAAGTGTCTTTTGCCTGCTGTACTCAGGTACATTCAGCTGATTACAACATCGGAAGGCTTTACCAGGTGAAAATCCTTCCTATAAACAGGTCGGTTTTAAACAAATTAGCTGCCACGGTTGATGTTAATATGCACCTTTTGTTGGAACTTACGACAAATCGTAAAATCAGCCTTAATTTCTGGTGAAACTGTTTTGAACTATTCGGTGATTTTGAAATTCATTTAGCGATCTCCCGATTACACTGCGGGTAATTTCCGAGGGCAAAAACAGTTAATTGATTTATATGCTTTTCAATCAAATTGTCTTAGTTCCTGCTTTGTTTGCAAGCAGTATTTCTATAGCCCTGGGCTGTGACGATTCTATTGAATTCAAGTGAAATGAGTTTACGCTGTTCAAATTTTAGCAAACGACAATTCCCCGTGAATAAATACAGAAATAAATAGATATGTAAGAAGATCGGATTATCCAAACTTGTATAACAAGAATAGTCATGAAAAATTCATCCAGACTTAAATAGGGAAGAGAAAACAACAAAACAGCTAAACAAGGAAATAGTGCCACAGTGCTGATGTTTATTTGTCGTTATTTTTCTTTCAGTGGGCAATTTCTTTATACTGGGTTGTAAATTATTTTCGGATATGGATACCTTAAAAAAAAAAGTTGTCATGCAGAGTGCTTACTTTTACTTAAAATTGCCACCGGTTACAAAAACAGTTTTTCATCATTTTGCTTGCCAAAGTTTCCAACGTTAACGTGCGCCAAAGAATACTAAGAAAACATACAAAAAGAAAAAAATTATTCTTGTTGTCCGGCGCCGAGTTTTTTTTTTCTGTATTGGCCCAGTATAGTCTTCGCCTGTACTAATTACGGAATGGTTTTGTACAAATGCAAATACTTGTAGAGGCCCGTGTACGATTAACAACTGCCAATTACACTTCAGGAATTTCTTCCATTTAAACACTGTGAACTACACGAGTCTTGGCTGTATCTATGGAGGAACACTAACGACCGACTTTTGTTGGGACTTTAAAAATGCCTGAATCCGGAAACCACTCAACAGCGTTAGAGATCACTGTTTTTGTTACACTGGTAAAATAACCAAGTACGTGGTTGGCGGTGAGGATTATAAAACTAAAATGCTGAGAAAGCCGAAGAAAATCGTACTGCAATGGAAAGAACTAGCAGGCTGATTTAGGCAAATGAACTGAGAAAAAGCTTTTAAACTGATCTGGGAATTGTTATTGAATCTTAATACGACTATACCTAAACATGTTCTGGGTCCTTCTGCCCAAAATAATTAAGCACTGTCTTCGTTTTGATTTGTCAGTTAACCGACTGTTATAATTTTACTTACTTTGAGTGTCGAGTTTTAAAATCAGCTCATCTTTAAAAATTTGTTGGTTGATTTGTAGGTCTCGGTCGTCAGCATAAACGCTTATTTTTCGTTGACAGTATAACTTCCAGCAGCTGGGAAAATATGTAAATGTGCGTGCTGGGAAATTAAACACAATTTGCCACATCGCAAGCTTATTGGTCATAAAGATGGCTTAACATGAGGGTGTGAATTGGTTTACTTCCCAAGCTTGTACCAAGCGTCCTTTATTTGGTAATTGCTCGCGATTAAGCTCCTTACATGACAGTAGTGTTATGTACAATAACGGTTACTTCAAGAAAATCGACAAATAAAAATTAAGTCATAAGGAAACAACAGATAATAAAAAGACCATTTTTTGGTGGAAATTTGGATGAAGATGCTCACTAAAAATATAACTTCCTTCCTGAAAAAACATATTGAGTTGATACAGAATGTTGTCGGTTCGTTATCTATGAAAGATAACGTACACAAGCCACATGCCCGCAGCCATATTGTTTCCTATCCGAGATGGCAGTAGAGTAAGAGTGTAATATATGAAACAAGTTTAGGATCAAAACGGCCTCTGTTAAAGAAAAAAGCAAAATAAAATGGAGATTTCTAGGTTCGACCAAAGAAGAAAATACTCACGTAAGTTTCACAAGTAAATACATCATGCTACAATATTAATATACGGAAAGTTCTTGCTGACTGTTCCTAGTGCCTATTATAGCTACCCAGGGTATACGCATGCGATCGTGTTGATTCTAAGCAAACTGCAGCTGCAAACATTGATAATATATTATACAAGTTGGGCATCAAAATTGCCCTGTAACAATAACAAAACTTTACACTATTTTGTTACTTTTTTATGCCTACAATTTAACTGCTATAATTCTGAGAAAATTCTCACTATCACGGGCTAAGCATGGCCTTATTATGAACAAGAGAATCTGTTTGTTTCACCAAACAAGCTCATCGAAGAGCCATTTCACTGCTCTGGACCATAAATAGCCAAAATGGAAACCTTATAATTTCCTTTTCACCGATATAAACTAAAATAAAACTCTTATGTTAAGTTAATATACAGAATATTTAAAATGTAACCCAATATGTGACAGGTAAACTAACAGGTTAATTAGCAGTGAGGTAAAGATGACTTCCTTTGGGCAGTGTATAAAACTGGGACGGGGACAAGGGGAAGGGGACATTGGGACGCGTGTGTGGGGACTTGTGACTCGGGGACGCGGGACGAGAGACTTGGGGACATCAAGTATGGAACGCGGGGATGTGTGGAACGGGGACGCGGGACGTCAAATACAGGGACGCGGGGGAAGCGGGGGACGCAGGATGTGAATGATTATTGCAATATATGCGATTTCAGTCACTTTCCTCGTGAATATGTTTTGGTGAAGGCAACCCACCCTACCCTTCTTACAGTTCCTCCATGCCTGTTTACGAAGCAAAGACTCGGCGAACACCCCCTGCATTGAAGAAAGTGAAACCACTGTCCTGTCTTCCTGCTGATGGAAGTGGGGGTTGCGGTCGCCAAACGTTATATAGAATAACAGCATTCGATTCCAAATAAATACGTATAAGAGAGGAAGCTAAATTAAGTAGCATAAGCAAGCGTCAAACCCCGAAGTGTTAGCTCCGAAATCCATCGCCTGCACCACTACACCACGGGGGTTTCAACTATTGGAACAATATATATTTTGTTTTACATATTTTTAGCGGCAAACCTAACAGTAAATGCCTGCCAACAGTACTTAAAGGTTGATTTCTACTAATGCATTAATGGCTACGCACGTTAAATGTTACAAAATTTTGCAAATTTTACCTTTATGATATAATGTCTAATGTAACACTGTAGTTCAGGTTTTGATTAGTCGTGTTGATAATAGTCTCAACCGCATCAGTAATGAAAACAGTATTTTTAAGACTGGCGGTGAACCTCTTGCCTTTGAATGTTAGCAAACTTTGTATGACTTGAGATGAGATTTAAGAACATGTATAGCCGCCTTGCTTTATTTTGCGAAGAGATTATTAAGAGAAGACAACTCACAGGCATCCCGCCAAATGATTACCCCGTTGCAATTATGACTATAGCTACCATTAAGCATCGATAGTCTGAATGGTAATAAATCAACGACTTTACATAACAGCTAGCCGAGAAAGTCAATCGAAAATTTCTGCCTTTCACTCATCTTTCATTAATTAGAGTTGAGCTGTGAGTGAAGATCTTCGAGGGCCCAACGTTTTGAATTTTAACAAAGTCTCGATGACTCAAGTGAACCAAATGGGTGATTTACAACTTCGAATTTATGGTGGTCGAATAATTTTTCTTTCATTCTTTTATTTAAGGGAGAGGGTTTTTATTATTTCATGTATGGATCTTTTAGGCATCTTGATGCAATTTAAAGAACGGTGCCGGAGTAAACCAAGGGCTAAAACAGAGAAGACGTACATTACTTCTCGTCCCGTTTCCGCGGGCTTCTCGTGATGGTGCTTAAACTTTGATTCAGAGCCCAGGCTCCGTCGCGGCTCAACAAATCAGGCATTGAGGTAAAATACAACTTTTCTATGAGGGTGTGAATAGGGTTAACCGACTAGCGACAAAGGGCAAAAAATATTACCGACTACCGACAAAACGCGAAAAAAATTACCGACTACCGACAGGAAGATTTTTAACCGACTACCGACATGGACCGACATTATCTATATTTTTTTTCAGAAAGAAGAGTATATTGTATTTTTCCTACCTTTTTAGGAAATAACCAAAGATACCACGTCACAAGTCTTTTTACAAGTCAGTCCTGCAAAACGAGGATATTGAAATCGGTTTGCAGAGCGTATGCCAAAAATGTCTATAACCCGCCTAGTCCTAAACATTATTTGCGACAGATGCTTAAATTAATCCTCAAAGAAAATTGTTTCCCGTTCAATGGAAAGCTCTACCTCCAAACCCACCGTACTGCGATGGGCACAAAGACAGCAGTTTCCTCTGCCAACATTTTCATGTCATATATTGAAACACAAAGTCTAAGCAGCTAAACCGTCTTTAAACCAGACATCGTAACTTTCTTCGAAGAAGCAAACTTGCATGATCCTACTATTAAATTCACCACCGAGATTCACTGAGACAATTTTTTTAGACACAGTTATCCTTGATGTAAAGACTACGGAAACCTTCCAGCACACATTTTGCGGCTTGTCACCCACCGATTTGTCAAAAGAAATTGAGGAAAGTGTTTCAAAATTCAAAAGAACGCTTGATGGTGGATGATGGACAGAGGCTATCAACACAATTTGAAAGACAAATTGCAATCAGAAATAAATGAAACTCACAGAAACTGAAGTCCGCGCTCCTGAAACAAAACCGAGCAGGGAAGGAAAAGAAATGCTGCCTTTCTTGACACAATAGGGAACTTAAGAACCACGACGAAGTTCACGACGACGACATCTGTTGACTGGGAAAAGACTGGAACGAGAACGTCAGTTTCGGCAGGAAAAAGGAAACTTAAGATGCAATCGGTCGGTAGGTCGACGACGACGACACTGAATGTAAACACAAATGTAAAACTGTGATGTTCGTTCGCAACAAAGTTTTTCGCAATGGCGTCTTTTAAAACAATGCAAGATCCAATTTTTAAGCCGTACGTCTAGTTTCATTGACGATGGAGAATTTTTTGTGTTGTCTGACCTTTTCGAGTGGAAAAACACCTGCTTTCCGCACAAAGATTATTCAACTTTCAACCTGAATGAGATGACCGAGTCCGAGTGTCTGTCAGAGTTTAGATTTGCAAAAAGAGACATTCTGATGTAATAGCTGTTTTCCATATAAAGTTTATTTCCTCTATTTTAAAGATATATGATTTGCCTTACCTAAATACGTACAAATAAATTTCTCACTTACGAGTTCGCTCCCTCGGCCTCCACAGCTGTTGTCATTCTTCGAAGTAAAAACAATTCATTATAGTATACTTTTAGTCTTCATAGCCAACAACATCACGGCTTAACTGACAGACGACCAATAACGTCACGACGTAATTGACCAATCAGATCAATAACCAGAGTATAATAAGATCAACCGACGTAGTACAACTCACTTTGACTCTGAAGATGACTACCGCACAGGTTGTCGAAACCTCAGTCACTGTCAACAACAACATTCCTATTCAGGACTACGTTCACCCGGACAATCAAACAGTCAACCTACTTTTGAAATGACTCCTGGATTCAAACCTTTCACAGTGCACTTTTAGTCGAATTTTCAATCAACATCGCCTGTTACGAGAAAAAAGGAACGATACCTGGATTTACGAGGATAAGAAAAAACAAAGGACTTCAAAAATCGCTTAAAACAGTGGATTTATGCACCTATCAATGTAAAGCCGGCGGGGGGGGGGGGGGGAGGCAGGGGAGGGGGTGGGGATTTGATTGTCTTTGTTGGCCCTGAGGTAGGGCATTTGACTGATGTTGTTCTCCCAGGGGATGGGAAATTTGAATCTTTCTTCGCCCGACGTGGAGATATTTGGCTACCGACTTGGGCGAAAAAGACTGCGACGGAACATCTGTTTCCCACTTCCACGCTTCACGCATGCGCCGTACGGTTTGAAAGATCAGGAAGTCATGGAAGCCAATGAGAACAAGCGAAGGCTGAGTGAATTTCACTGTTTCGTCTTCAAATTTCGTTTGTTTTAGCGTGTTTTTGATCAATTGAACCTCTTAAAATACTGTGGTATCAAAGTAAACGAAAGTAAAGAGAAACCAAGTCGATTTTTGCAAGTACAATTGATTAGTGTAAGGCTCATTCGCTACAATCAGTGTAAACTTACGAAACTGACTTTTTTTGTACCCTTTACTAAGAAAGGTGTATTTAAACTTACAAAATGTGGACTTTCTCGTAAAGGTTTATGTATTCTACGCAGTGTGACACGGATTATGATTTTAAAAAACGTATAATTGCAGCTGTAACAGGAACATGTATCTTTGGTGATGCAGCAACGTTTATAGAAGATTGCAGAGTTTTATTTGGAGATATTTTTATTGTGCCTTTCTTGGGTTCTGCCTTGGAATTGACAGCAATGTGCAGCCTAGGGTGGGGAAATTTGGTTGCATTTGACTGGAATGATTTGCCCGCGGGCAGGGAATTTGATTGCAAATTTTTGAAAAAAGTCAAATCTCCACCCTACTCTCCGCCTCCCTCCCCGCCGGCATTACATTGATAGGTGCATTATACCTGCTGAAGCTTGTGGATTGCAGGACGAGGTGATTGTACTTTGTTTGGCGTCGTCGACGACACTACGACGACGGAATTTACTGGTCGCGCTTGCGCAGCACTCTGCAACTCACTTGTGGTCGTAAAAGAAGCTTTAATGGAAAAGTGGAATGTCATACAAAACCAACCGCTACTTGGCTAATTTTTTAAAGAACCACCCCTTATTTCCTAAAAGAAAGGAAAACCATGGCAAAGAACATGCTTGTTAGAGCCAAAATATTAAAGGTCTTTTACGCCGGTATAGATGTGCAACCTGTCACCCCTTGCAGTTTTTCACCAAAAATAATTTATGTATCCAAAAGGTTAGACTGGGCGTTTCCCTCTGTGTCCAATTAACCTCTCTTCATTACTTTTTATGGTGCCCTGTAATCAACAGCGAAACCAAATTCGCATTTGCAATAAAAGCTTTGGTAAAATACACTATCATGTTGCATAATGAAGTTTAAGTTCAATCTAATGATGCATTTTTACAAGTTTTACCTGTTTTATAGGGATCAAAGTCTTTAAACTGATTGAAACACATAACAAATATTAATAATTAACATGCATTTTTACTTATTAACTGAGATTAACCGACAACCGACAAAGATCGAAAATTTTAACCGACTACCGACAAAGTAACTAATTTTAACCGACAACCGACAAGTGGACCCGCCCATTCAGACCCTCTTCTATGTCTGTCTTGGGGTCTCGAAAATGTAGAAGGTACATGATGTTAAGATAACCGCAAAATGAAATGTGTGAGGACATATCAACAAATTATTTACTTGATAAGAAATGGTGAAGAGCCAGTATGATGAATTACGAAATTAGCACACAGTAGATTTTCAAGTGAACTAATCGTTTCTTCATGGCGAATATAATCACCTACGAATTTATATGACCTACTGATGCATAAATATGGGTTCTTCATTTTTTGAGAACTTGACATACTTTTGAGAATCTTAAACATAAAAATAAAAAATATATACCTAGCAAATAAACCGAACCATGCATGAGTTTTTAGGGAATGAGCGGTACATAGGTATGCGTTCGAGCGTCAAAAAAAAAAAAAAAGTGAGGACTAAATATGGTCATTGGTAAAGTAAGACAAAGACTAGAAAATACAATTGGCTTGAAGATCTTCAGTGCAGTAGGCGCTTATGAGAAAAAGGAGTTTTTTTGCCGGGCGTTTAAAATGTTTTAACTTGGTGCTTCTTTCGAAAAGACTTTACCTTTTTCTCAATAGTAGTAATTCAAACGACTGCAGCCTTTCTTTGAAAACACCTAGTTTTTTTTGGAGTCGGGATCACTTGGCTTCAGAACACTCAAGTATCGAGTAACCTGCGAATATAACACCAAGAACAAATATATTAATTCTCGATTAATCACAGTAAATGAAAGAGAGCTGTATACCGTATTTATAAGCGATTTTAGCAGGAAAAAAGTAATAAATAGATAAACAATATATTGTATTCAAAATTTCACAGATGCGCTCATTCAGTTTTAACCAGGTGCCGAGTACTAAAAAGGGTTTCTAATACGATAATGGTTCAGGTTTTGCGTTGAATTACAGGTCAATCCACTCTTACTTGTTTGAGCTGAGGCAAGCTACGAGACAAGATAAATTCATATGGTGAAATAAAGATGTTAATTTACCTTTTCTTAAACGCGTGCAAAATACAAAATCACATATGGGGACCTGTCACTTAGCAATGGAGTCCTTGCCGCTGTTGTTGTCCAATTTTCAGCCCTGTAAACTCCCGGGCTCGATACGATAACTTTGGAATATATTAGCGTTTTCGCGTTTGGTTACATATGGACTTGTGAAAGCACTTTTGGAACAAGCAATCAAATAACACAGAGCTTGCATCCAATCAACGTAGTCGGAATAAGAAAGGCTAGTCATAATTTGATTGATATTGCTCTCAGTGCCTTTGTGATTTCGTCATGAAATAGTACATGTTATCTCGTTAGGTTAGCTGTGGGGTACCGCAACACTCCATATGTGGTACTCCATGTAAAATCCATACTGGTTTTGTTCGTAAATCTACATGACTTTCGCATCCATGTTCACGAACTGATTTAAGGATTTTAATTACTTATTTTACCGCAAAAAAGGTACAATATATATAATGCTGTAAGTTCCATTAACCAGTAGGAAAAAGTGGAGAAAAGTATTTCGTTGATTTTGTGTGGGAGTTGTAGTCTGTGAAAACTGTGTAAAATCTTCCATAGAAATTAGCTTAAATTAGCAAAATATCTGGGATGTTATGTATTTGCATTCCCAAAGAAAGCTTCTGAGGAAAGTATGAAAAGACTTCTTTCCAGTAGGGTGCATTTAAAAAAAAAAATGTGTAAATCACCTGTCTGCCATTTAATTACAATTCTGGCATCCCCCAAACAACCTCTAGTTCTTAAGGAGTCCTTCCCCATGTTACGTAACAGGGACTTTAAGATCCAACGACACGACGACAACGAGAACGTCGCTTGAAAAGTGAAGTTGCGTTCTTTCAGTCTATGTTGCAATTATTCCTACCCACTTACTTTGTCAAATGTAGGCGAACCCTCCTGGAGTTGAATTCTTAGGCACCATATCCAAGTACAGTAAGAGAAATAAAATTTCGTCGTTGCTTGTTTACGTCCTCCGTAAAACGCGAAATTGGGCATGTTCACGTCGTAGTCGTGCAAAAACGGGCAGAGAAATGTACAAAAAAGCATGGCGCACGTGCAAGTTGTTGTTTTGCTAATCAGAGTATTGTTTTTTTTTTACGTTCTCGTTACCGTCCGCGTCGTTGGATCTTAAAGTCCCTAATTGCACCAAAGATGTCAATATGATAACATTACTGCATAACTATGGCTTAGGTGGCTGATATTGTGATTGAAAAGCAAGACGCGTACGGAAATAAAGCTGAAACAAAACATGGTATATACTGTATTAATTTACTTTGATCAGCTAAAAAAATTAGTTAGAAAATGTTTGGTAAAAGTGGAGGCGATTTGAATAAAGCTAGGCATTTCTCCGCCAAATGCTTTAAAGTTGAAACAATGCCTTTTAGCGACTGAAGGACAAATAAGTTTTATAACGTATAGTCACATCAGACAAAAACTTAAAACTTCGACATCTCGTGATGATCCGTTTCGGCAAAAATGAAAATGAAACAAAAAAGTATTTTGAAGTAAAATAATCACTTTCAATGGAGGCTCACTCGAATAATCGCAGTGAACATCACGCTCATTTCTCCAGTAAAATTAACAAGCCCGTACAGTGCACAGTATGGAGTCATGACAATTCATGACAAAATTTTAATTTCTTTTATTATTTTTTTGGAAAAATATTACTCATAATGCTAAAAAAAGCGAAGAAGAATCAGAAAAACGAGAAGTATAACGTTGTATGCTAAATTAACGAACTAAAGGGTATGGCTAGTTAATGTTCTCTTACGCTGTATCAACTAAAGGCAGTGTATAAAGGAAATTAAAACCCTTTTTAATTTTCGGCATTTTGTGTGTTGTTGTTGTAGCAATATTTGCATTTTAACTGAATATTTTACAAACACTTGAGCTTATATCATCACAGTCTCTCGGATGATGTAATACACTACCAGTTTTCTCTACCTTGTTTTCAGTAAACCACTAAAACGGATAAATTGTGGATAAGAAATCAGATAAGGCAATTCTCCCCCGCTCAAACCATCCAAATGGGTGGGGTATATGTCTCACTGTTATAAAGGAGATGATGCTGCTTATGTGAGCCAAGCATGCATCACTGATAGGTAAAACTTGGGACAAAGGGTGTTGATACACATCACAAATTTTTTCCTGTCATTCTCGCAAAAATGGAAACCATCGCTAAACGAATGACCGTTTTCCCCCTGAACACGAGAATTTTATCCGTTGGTCGTTAGACCAAAGCAGCATTGATCAGGGGGACTGATAGGGAGGGACTTAGGTTTTCGCTTTGGAAGAAATGGTGGAAGCACAAAAGTTAGAAAATAGATGGAACTGTCCCAACAGTTCTGTACGAGGTTGAAGTTATAATAAATATGAAATCATTTACCAGAAGACTTTCAAAAAAAAATTTAATTTTTAGCCGTAAACGTGTTGCATATTTCTAACAGTGTAGACAGCTACAATTAAATCAATGTATTACTTCTTATGTTTTCCAAAATTATAGGAAATATTTTTAATTTAACTTTTAGATGATGGAAAATATAAATTATTAATTGATTAATCAATTAACGAAAAGGGTATTGTCCCTGAAAAGCTCATCGCCACTGTATAACCGTACTTACTGATGTACGAATTGTATAATAACAATTACGGGCAAGTTAAAAAAAATGGAAAAGGTGCGGTTTTGCGTGTCAGATGCCGTTCCCTTCGAGACAAGACTTCAAAGTCATGAGCTTAGCTGTGAATCCCTTAAACTTTGGTCCTAACACTGTTGTCAGTGTCATAAAATGGTACAAAACCTCACAAACGTCTGTAACGTTTGTCGTTCTATGCCTGCTTCAGGGCTGAATTTGGGAACATTTTGATGAAATAGAAGTAGCTATATATACTGTAAAGTGCCCTTCCATGTACGATACTGAACCGGGGGGTGCCCGAAATCCGACTCCTTACCCTTTTATATATGATTTTTGACACAAACGATAACCGTTTGGTTTAGCTTCTATTGACAAATGGTACCCCTTTCACATTCCTACTTTAGGCCTTTGCATCGCTTTTGACTGCTGTAAATGCATTGGCTTTAAAGTAATGATCCGGGAAAGGTGGATAGCAATTTCTTTTGTTATGCGGCAGCGGTGCTTTCCCCACATAGGAATGTTCTCATTTTTACACAGATAACGCATAAACCTACATGAAGGCCGTTTACGCGATAAATGCATTTACACTCCACTTTGAAAGGGTTTTTTTGTGTGTTAAAAGATTTTGACCAATCACAAGAGTTGAAAACAATAGCCAAGAAAAGTTTACAATTTTACATGTTCCCCACATAGGATTTCTTTGTTATTCAAACCGAGACCAGATTTTGTTATATGGAAGATGGTTGGAAAGTAAGGATGAATATATGTACCGCTTTATGAAGTTTTGTTAACTTTTGCTGTTTAAACCAATCAGAAGTAAGTACAGACAATAGAAAAGCTAGCACCTTTTTTGCATTCCAACATGTTCGTTGCCGTTGTTGCTATCGTTCTTATCTGGACCGTTTCTTAAGCATAAATAAATCACAAACCCAGAACGTTACAAGTATCGACTTTTTCTCAGCCATTTAACGGATCTATTAGCCCTTTTGGGACTTTTTACAGACTACAATGACAAACTTCCCTACCCACTAGGTCCCTTTCATACACCTTGAGTTTGAAAAAAGTGGCCCTTTTGGGCGGAGACTACCCGTATAGGCTATGATGGAAAGTACCCAGGATAAGGACAAGGCATGATTTCTCACTGCACCATCGAAATCCAGACAATTTCAGCCTTTGTATCTACTTATCCTATAGTTGACTGTACTGGGTAACTCCAAGCATGATGGATTTGAGCCAAAGCAGAGAGTTCTTTGTCAGTTAATTATAATCTTATGGAACTTATTATTGTTACTGACAAGACACTGTTTTCGATCGAGACCCAGTTGTTTTTGATTGGCAAGATCATGATCTTTTAGAAATAATGTAAGCTTATTTTTCGTTCTTATCCTTTTTTGAGCAAGTGTGGTCATTAAACTACACATTAGAAATCTTCAGGCTAGCTTTCATCAATGGCAAGATTACAGCTCCCTGAAAGGGCTGGAGATGCTCTTGTTTAATCAAGGGAGGTGATTCAGGAATGCAGATTTTTGTGTATCTCTTAACGTTTTCAGAAAGGAAAGCCAATATTTTTACCCATACAGCTATCGCTTGGCAGATGTCCTTCATATCGTAACCAAAAACAGCTGCATAGGAGACTTGTATTAGCTTTAATCATGCGTGACGAAATTTTAGGAACGTAGAAGACGAAAAGAAGAAAGAAGAAAGCATTCAACGAAAACCAGTTCCTAATCGCAATTGAAATACCCAGAGCTCTTATTTGACTGTCTGTACGTTTTAGAAGGGTAAATCTTGCGGGTGAAATAAGGCTTGAGCCATTCCCAGAATCTCTCCTTTACGGGTTAATTTCGATATTCCGAGGAACCTCCCAGTCCTGTTAAATGGGAGCCACCCCCCAGGGTGGGCGGCTACTTATTAATTATTCTCTTGGCATAAACAAGTGGAAAACCTTAGGTTACTGTCTGACGGTATAACTGTAGCCCCGAGAAATCAGTACAGTATCAACACAGTTTCTGTGTTCATACTACTACATGAGAAATTTTTGCAATTTGATTGGCTTAGAGCAGTGGTATTTCAGCTTAATTTGAAACATCTACATGTGAAAATTACAAAACTATTGTGGGTAGTAGTATAAACAAATAATAGCATGATCTGTTCGTGATATTTGGCATAAATACTACTACACTCGTGGTATTTATGCCAAATATCACTACGAGTCATGCTATTACCTATACAAATCCAGTTATTTAAAAATATTTGTTAAGATCGTAGTCACAGAGAAAATTACCTGATATATTAATAACATGTGTTCAAACTTAGTTTACAAACGGTGTTAGAGATATTGTTTTTTTCCAGAAACCGACAAAATCCTTTGGAATTATACATTATATGCGCCTGGGGCCATTTATTGGCGGCTGTATCTTAGTTTGGAGCGTAGATAAAGGTAAAAGCAAAGTTGATGTAGCTTTCCGGCGTAAAATCCTACGATTTTCGTTATCAATCAATAAAATCAAAATCAAAGTAAATGTTGCATGGTCTTATTGGCACTCGTGCTAAAAGTTCTCTCCCTATGAAACTAATTCTAACTGCGCTACGTAATCTAAGAGCCAAGGGAAACATGTTGATGCGAATCGTTGGATTAGCTTCAAGTTTACCGATACATTATGGATTTACAGCAAAGGCATCAGTTTTGCACGATCCACCTACCTTAATACCGCTATAGCTTTCACTTCATCTCGCCTTGAATATGTTCAAACAACACAGCTCAATTCGTCGTTCAGAGAAGTCGAAGTCTGATTCTTCCGTATCAAAATTATCAGGTCACTCAGGGGCACGGGGGCTTGGCTTGTCTAAAAACGCATGATCCGATTTCCTTTAATACCTACAGAAGAGAAGATGATTACTGTTGCCGCATGCCATAAAATGTAACTGCGCAATGTAACTTGGTTGTCCCTTCCGATCCTCTGAGTATTTGTAGGACAACTAAATGCAAAAACAATGGGGTAAAAAGCCTTTTGTTTTTCATATGTGTCGCAGTTCCTTCCAAAAATATTGACCGAAACATCTTTAAATCATTTTCTAATCCTATCATTTGAATAATGACAGATTATCGGACTGAGTAAACATTTGCATAGCATTATTATTGCTGTTTGCGGCGAGTAGGCTAATGTCTACGGACCACTTGCTTGATATTTATAATTAAAATGCCAGTGCACAAAAGATCGCTTAAAAGCTTTCAATGGCCTGAAATCGAAATAATACGAATCTGCCTGTTTACTCTTCGGCAAGATCGTCAAAACACTGATTGATTTTTAAAGCAAGGCGCACCTTTTAATATTAAATTAATTTCTTGGTCTCTTGTTACCCAGACACTAAGAACTTGATGAGGTAAATGGTGTTTGAAATGTGCCCTCTGAAATAAGATATTAAGTATTTTTTTTCCTTTGAGATTCTGCAAAACCAACTGACAGACAGAGAGAGAGACTATGAGAGAGAGACAGAAATATTCTGTAACACATGTCACCACTCAAACAGGAAAAGACTGGCCGAACTCTCGTGGAAGCGCTCTTGCATCTTAACCTTATCTTCTTGCAATTCGCCTAATACTAGCCCAGTCTTTTTGAGGCTTCTACTGGTCTAATATGCAACACTGACAACTGTTAGAAAATGCATTAAGAGTGACCAACATCAATTCTCTCATAACAGCATCAACACACCATCAAGAGGAAAGGTTATCAGAATTACCGTAATAAATATGATTGTTAAACGAAAAAGGCTTTTATCTGATCTTTTATCAAACTCTTTCAAGTAATTCTTTAAGTATGGCGGTCAAGATGTAAAGCAAAGAACGGTAAGGGAAGAGGTCGATCAAAGGTAGATTTCCATGGTCGCGTATCTTCACCGACATAACATAAAAAAAACACAAAATAGAGAAGGTGATATGGCATATAGTTCACGTTATTGTAGAATTGAACATTTCACTTCCTTTTTTCGGTTCCTGTTTTTTGGTTGCATAAAGCGTAGCAAACATGTCTTAAACTTGTTTTAAAAGCAGTTTTAAGCGCCGAGACGATTTGGATACTTAAGACTCGACATAAAATAAATTTCTCAAACAATCATTTAATAGGTGTTTGTGGAAAATTGATCACTCTGCGACAACTTAGTGTTAGTTTCCTAATGATGTAAGTAGGGCATGTGTGCCTTTTGTGGCTGAGTGTGGTTAAAAATGACTTCAATACGCAAATATTGAGCATGCGATTACCAGAATTTGAGAGAACTTTGTTTTGGAAAATTGAGAATAATAATTTGTTTACCTGAAGTCTTGCCTTTCAGTTCAGTTGGTACATTTAGAAAAACGTTATGTGTCTTCGCGCCTTTCACGTTACCTTCCAGAATGGGCAATGTTGCTAAAATGCAGATGTCAGGATCGTTACTTCATTTGCCGCGCTGTGATGTCTGTTCGTTTACCACGCGGCATATAACACATCTTCAAAGAAGTTTTAACAAGAAAAATGGTTTCCTTGGAGTAGCGATTGTTCTTACTCGTTATAAGGATATGAGTTATTCGTTGTATATTACCATTAGTGAAATCGGTTGCCTTTCATAAATGTTATTACAATGCAGGTTAATTTTGTTTTCGGCAGTTCACAGAAAACTGGTCATTCGCCGAATCTTCCAGTCTTTTGTCATGATAATTCACCGTTCGGCCAAAGAAGAACGTTTTCCCTTGTTAATTTTCTTAACATTCACTTTTGCGGGGCTATAAAATATCATTTGCGGTAAAAATATAGGCAGATTATAGCACTTCTTCATCGATATTTCAGTTGACAAACAAGTTTCGTTCCAAAGAATTATTGCAGACAAATCTCATATTTTGTACAAACTTTGGCTCAAACTAGAATCGATTTTCTTCCAATATTGACTAAACCTGATTCTCACAATCAAAATCATAATCGTTTGGCGTCATTTTGATGGGAGTCCTGCTGCCTTTCAATTCAGAATTACACGGAAGACGCCAGTGTTATACTTCCTGTTTGTTTTTCTGGATGCAAACGCGGCTCCCGTTTTGAATTGAGCTTGGAATTAATAATTTAATATTCAGAGGAGAGTGCAGTACCTTTTTCGGTGGAGAAAAATGTTTGAAACAACAGGTAGCAGGGAGGACAGGTAGATAAACTTCCGTTGTGCGATACATGACCGTGAAACTTAATGACTCCAGACTTATGCGTGCTTTCCTGGTAAAATTGCTGACGCCTTGCGTATTTTTCCATGTTTTCATTTTGTTGTTGTTGTTGCAATTTAGAATCCGGGTTTTGAAGCAAATATTTCAGTTACTTTCAATTTCTGGGCCTGATAACTGATCTGATCGAGATTCATTCATTGACGAAAAATGCATCCCACTTCATTTTTATACAGTGCTCCGACTAGTGATTTTTATACGCACATAAATTAAACGCCAATTCATACAAGATTCTTGAGTAAATTTTATTGAAGGAGGATGCAATTGACTTAAAAACGTAGGCTTCAAAACCAAGCTGCCCTCCAGGGTTTTTGAGCACTTGTAAGCGGCTTCAGGCCTTTCAAGGGTAATGGAAATACTGCGGTTGATGACTAAAGCTACATACGTAAAAGTTGAAAACTGACCCACTCAAAGTACCAACCTACAGGTCAGGTTCAGGTTAATGGAGGAATGAAAGTGGCGAGTAGTAAATGAATACAGATAGTCGTAGCCAGGAAATTGAGTTCCTTGGTGTTTGACACCTCATTTAAAATGCAGATTAATTCATAGCTGTTCTTTTCCTACGATCATGCTTGCCAAATGAATCACTTTCTGTGTTGACAAGTAATGAAACTAATGGACCCACATAACCGCGAAACAAGTCAAATATTTGCCTAAATGTCATCTTTTTATTCTTAAAACAAATTCTGTTTCCTGTGATATTATGCTACGTCCGATCATAAGTCACGTAAAGAAAGGAAAACCAAACTGAAAGCACGCAAATACAATTTATGAGTTTTGAGCTTACTTACCAAAACGATCGTAAATTAAATAAATAATCCTTAAAATAAAAATAATCCTATTTAAAACCTGAAGTACAATCTCAGCAGCGTCACTGAAATGGCAAGAACGTTAACATTACAGATTTTTGTTATTGTTGTTCTTTGATTTCTTTGTCGTGACTGATGTCGCTTTTTTTGAAGGAAGTTGTTAAATTTAGGCAGACTTCACGGCGCCAACAGCAGAACAGTAACGTCAAAAAGAAATTATGCTTATTTTAATCGAGGATTAATGATTCAGTGTCTTTAACGACTGCTTAGATTAACGCGGATGCTACTTTCTGCACTGCAATGCTTTTGCCCATAGTGACTGATGACACTTTGGCAAGGAGTTTGTTGAGTTTAGCCAGACTCTACGACGCTAGGCTGCTAACCTAAAGGTATCTCAAGATGAAGCGAAGTTAACTTAATCGTGATGTGACAATTCACTCTTCCCTTAGAGCGAAGGCTACTAGTAATATTTGAAAAAACGATAGGAATTCAGAAAATCACAACCCCAACTTAACTTGAACATCGTGTTTACATTTGGAATCCGATTCGCCATAATACTAGTTCAAACTGTGATAGAAGACTCTTCCTGGGAGAAATTTTATCATAATATTACATACATATCAGCGACAAAATACCGGGTATTACTGCTCAGCGAGACCCGAACGGATCTAACAGCCTCACTGAAACTGAGCTAATGATATTTTATAAACTCTGCCAATTTATCTGATCTTAATTACTCAGCTAACGGCTTCAAACAAAATCAAGGAAATGCAAATTATGAAATTTACTATATTAAACCGTGAAGCATAAATGTATAGGTTCCCACGGTAAGTTAAACTCTAAAAAGCTTTAAAGGAGAATTACTGTTATAGTACGGTGTAATAGGAAATTACAGAAAACGCAATTATATTTATATCGACGGTAATTCACCACAAATTTAAAATTATTGTGGCTTAATTAGTACAATCGTTTTAAACACAACGTCCCACCTTGTTCTTAGTCCTGTTGCCCATAAATCTTTAACGACTTGGAATTTTTCACTCTTCTCTATCGTCGAAAGTCGATGAAAGGTTATTTTGCATTAGTTTTAAAAAATGGTATTTCTTACCACTATTCCGACATTTGAACCTAAATGAAACCCCTCTGTCACTGGGTACTGAAAACATCTGAGATACCCATTTTTATTCTCACACCACTTCGGATTTATAAACGAAATATCCTTTTAAAAGGATTACATTTCCGGGAACTTACCGGACCTTTCACTCGGGTCATTTGAGATTATTTTCCCAAGATCGCCTGATAAGTTTTCCCAAACGCACGTATTTTTCTCTTTTTCTTGCCCTTTTGCAGATGTTCCCCTCGTCTTTAAAGTCGCTTTTTTTAATTAAATATTTGACTAGGTAATAAATATGACTGTTGACACATTTGCTTCTTAGCCGTCTTGTCACAGGCCGAGACAAGACAACCTAGAGGGTGTATTGTTTTAGAATTTTTGCCAACATTGGTGATGATTGTTTTTTCTTATATATAGCTACTGGTTACGAAAACCAACAAGAATGCCTTAAAGACATGCTGTTAAATATTGGAGAAAAATGTTAAGTATGCATGTATATTTTAGAAACCAAGCCAGCAGAGTCTCCGTGAAATGGAGAGACAAAGAAAGGCCTTTTCCAATTAGATTCGTCGTCTGCCTCTGTTTATTCATGGAAAACAATATACCTTTTAGCGGCTTTTCAAAATTCTTTAA